GGATGCTGCAACGATGCGATCTCATTAACGAACCCGCTAACGAACGTCGGAAACTAACGGACCTCGCGAGTGAGGGCCGACACGTTCGTCGTCGAGTTGAGGCTCTTCAGTCGGATGCTGCAACGATGCGATCTCATTAACGAACCCGCTAACGAACGTCGGAAACTAACGGACCTCGCGAGTGAGGGCCGACACGTTCGTCGTCGAGTTGAGGCTCTTCAGTCGGATGCTGCAACGATGCGATCTCATTAACGAACCCGCTAACGAACGTCGGAAACTAACGGACCTCGCGAGTGAGGGCCGACACGTTCGTCGTCGAGTTGAGGCTCTTCAGTCGGATGCTGCAACGATGCGATCTCATTAACGAACCCGCTAACGAACGTCGGAAACTAACGGACCTCGCGAGTGAGGGCCGACACGTTCGTCGTCGAGTTGAGGCTCTTCAGTCGGATGCTGCAACGATGCGATCTCATTAACGAACCCGCTAACGAACGTCGGAAACTAACGGACCTCGCGAGCAAGGGCTGAGACGTTCGTCGTCGAGTTGAAGATCTTCAGCCGGATGCTGCAACGATGCGATCATGCTAACGAACCAAAGATGCGATCCCGCTAACGAACCATTGACGTGAAACATCAATCGAAAATATCGATGGGCAATATCGATACGAATATTGAAACATTGATACATAATATCAAGAGTAGATAATAGGAGATCCCTATCTAAATCTCCTATTATGTACTCTTGATAATAACAATACGAAAGTAGTATCTACAGGTTTTAGGCATAGAGGCACTCAGTTGGACACAATTCACTATATTCCGATGAGAACGACCAACACGATAACGTAGGGGATCTCTCGACGGGTCACTCGTTTGTTACAAATCACCCCGCGATTGCATTTTCGGTACGTACATCTTCTGGCATTCTTTCTTGTCGCCTAGCAACGGATCTCCCATCTCTCCCAGGATTGACGCCTCCAGCTCATAGTTGACAACGAGCGCCTTCTCTGTGGGATGCACGTCTATCGCGCCCGGCTTGATTTTCCTTAAAGAAATAATTTTCATTAATGAGATACAACTTAATTAGAATTGTAAATTGTAATACTAATACTAATACTAATAGCAATAGTAATAGCACAGCGCTATGGCTGTTCACGGTGGACAGATGGGTGTGTAGATCAGATCTACTAAATATAGGGTGAAAAGAAAACTGCTTATATTTTGCCGGTACCGGTAGCGGCTAGAACTACGTGTACGTCCGCGCTGCGGTGGGTAGGCTGAGTCAGTAGGCTAGGTGAATCGCTAGACTCTAGTAAATTCACTAGTCACTAGGCCTACACTCACACTGCACTACACTAAATGAATGAACCGTGGCATTGAACACTATTTACCTCTTAAGATATCGAGCATCTTCGACCTGCATCGTGAGAACTTACGCCTCGTATACTTCAAAGATATTTATAGTAAATTGTGTTTCATTTTGTGTTTGTTTTTGTGTGTGCCTGTGTCAGTGACTAATATGCTAATAGAGGAGAAGGAATAATAGACTGGTACTCGCTCCCACCTCGATTACTCGATGGGTAACCCTAACCCTAACCCTAAGCCGAAAGGTGGGACCGAGTACCAGTCTAAAGGAATTTCTCACTTCTGTTTCCTCGGCAAATAGTGGTCACGTGCCAGATCTCGCGAGAATGCGATAAAAACAAATATGTCAGCGCCCTAGCTCTTGATTAGTTCATTTCTGGCAGATTTTAGTAATTCAGTAGGAAATGGTGGGAGTACATGTAAAACTAAAACTCTAGGTTGATAGACATTGGAAGTATTTTTATACCGCGAAGTACTAACTTTGTGTGTGTACGATAGCTGTTGTCATGAGCTCAAAATCTGCAATACAGCTTCTGAAATTTTTCGTCTACAATCCTACTTTGAGCAAAAAGGAAGGAGAGGTACCGTACCGTACTAATAAATGCATTAACTTTCATGTCGTACTAACTAAGTAATTAACCTGCTGTAGACAGTTCGGAGTGGTACCAACTATTCCCACAAAGTGACCATACAAATGTAATGCAAAACAACAACGTAAACCATTCAATCATTCAAAAGCATTTGGCAAATTATTCTAAAAACGTCTTTAATCATCAACTCCTTTTACACTGCATTTGATTTGCTAACGTCCTGAAATCGGCTGGTGGGTTAATTCCGGATCAGGGAGGGTTTGGGACCCCGCAAATGTGTTTTCGCATATGTGCTAAATTAATCCGGGTTTCTAAACTAGGATTGGGCCTTGATTCCTTACACTTACAGGAGGAGAAGAACTTGATGTACTACTATCCTCAGGACGTGCCCCTAGACAACAAGATCAAAGATGTCGGACTCTGCGAGGCTCTGGTCAAATTCTCGCGAACCTTCGCGGCCGACGCGCCGTGCGAGTCGCTGCACACACAGAAGACAAGACAGCTGTTTCTAGAAGCAGAGGAAAACTACTGGCTCATATTGGTAACAATGAAATGCAGCACAACGTCATTTCCGAAAATATTTTAATATGTGATCTTATAGTGGTAATAATAACAATAACAGCAACAGCAGCAACAACAACACCAACAACAATAGCAACAGTAACAATAATAATAATAAATTACAAATGTTACTTAACTATTACTAATACTATCTTAGATTTTATGCCTTTCTAAAGTGGTCTTGTTCTTTTGAGTACGTTTATCGGTCCCTCAATGGACGTGTATGCAACCAATGTCCTCTGTGTATCGGTCCCTCAATACTCCGTTTACTGTGTTATTGCTATGAAGTACGTGATGCAGACTAAAGGAAGACGTAGTGGGTGAAAGTTGCTTAACGCTCATGTATTCCTGTCGCAGGTGATCAGCATCCCTACCGCACAGAAGGTGAAAGATTCGCAGGTGTACATAGAGTATCATGAAGATGATGTACACGACACAGTCTACATGGCCGTACTCAAACAAGCCTATCAAATGTTCAGGGTAGGCTCCTACGCTTTAAAACTAATGTATCGTCACTACGTAGATCCTCGAATGTGGCGCCATTAACATCTAGGATGCACATAAAATATATTTATTACATACATTTAGTTGCGCTCCTAGGGTCTATGTCCCCCAGGGTACTGCCGGACCGTACCCTGGGTACGGTCCGGAATACCGGAACGTACCCTGGTAACTATCTGATATGGTTGGGGTAGGGTTAGGGAGTAGGCGTAGGCGACTCCCTAGACTCGTTAGTGGAGTAGGCGAGGTACGGTCCGGCATATTAGATAGTACCAAGAGTACATAATAAGATCTTATGCGTGATTCACGATATTACGATTAACGCGATCATGGTTAAACAGGGTCTCGAACAAAGCGCAATTGTTATCAAAATCCATAATCGAGATTTTTATTTTTAAATTGGCACAAGAAAACTTGGAAAAGTCGACTGAGAATCAATATATCATCGCTACTGCATACAAGTACTTTATTAACATACCGTATTAATACCATAGTAACAGTTGCAAAACAAACATAACAGGGCTACAACAAGCCCCATACATGCACACACGTAAATGCACACTGAGTACGCACAACAGCATTCAAGCACCCTCGGGACAGGGCGACCGCCGATAACCCGATTGTAACCGATCAACCGTACTTGGGTCCAACGAGATCGATACGAAATACAACGCGATTGACAACACAATATCCTTCACTATATGTAATCTTGAGAGTAGCGCCAGGTACGTTCGCAGCATACCTGGGAACAAGACCGTCTCTCAGCTAGTGGCAACGTAAATGTTGTAAGATACATTACATGATAAATTACACTGTATATATCAGGTCAGACTGAAGTTATTAGCTCACATTGACATGTCAAGCGAGGCTATAGGCCAGGTCGTCGTCCGTCGTACGTCGTTCCGTCCGTCCGCACATTGCTTATCGGTCAACAAACTCAGAAAGGAACCGTTTGAACCCACATGTTTGAAATGGGTATAGTGTTACTCGTATGCCTCCCATATTAAGTCCATTTATGGAGCACGCAGTCGACGTACTTTAGCCACGCACATTTTGGCAAAAATTGGGAATTGCCATATCAGTCAGGGTTCACCATTGCTCATTTGGTAACTGTGAATGAATAAGGGCTAGGGTTTTGATATTTAAAAATTATGCAAATTATGTAGGTTTAGGCAATACATAGCATATATATAGAACACGCAGATAACAACAGTCTGTGGTGGTCACCTCCGTCTGGTCGTTTACAAGATTTATCGACAAAACCTATGCAAAATCGTGCTAGAACATATTATATTTATCAACTATTATTATTATATTTTATTATATGTATAATGGATCTATGCTAAGAAAACATCAAGGCGTTAGCCGCAACTAATCGTTACAATGTGATAGCACTTTGGTTATAAATTATTATAATTAAAAATAATCATTATTATATTTCACATAAAAAATACACATATAATATCAAAGTTATAAAGGGGAGTTCTCGCCACAGCTCAGAGATAAGGCGTTGTCCGGTTTCTGCCGGAGACAACCAGAAAATTTGCGCCGGACAACCTAACGCAGTCGAGACATTGTCCGGGGACAACCCAGAAAATGTGACGAGAAAACGCACTTATTATGTGTCTCCAGGGTCCAACAGCACTTATAGCTGCGGCCCTCCATAATCTATTGTGGAAAGAATCGGCATACCAGCTGCTATTGTCAAACACTCGTAATGTCAGTTTCTGATTATAGAAGGTTGAATTCAACTCGATGGAACTCAGCAAAACCAGAAGTGTCACACTTGAACATTGTATTTTATTCCATTATATTTGAAATTTCCGATGCTTTGCTCACATCGCAAAACAAACAACAGTGGGATCATGTTGATCCGAAAGTTAAAAAAAAAGAAATTGTAGTCAGAGATGAAGGCGTACTGACTCAAAAGTGCCGGCAAATACCATCTCTTGCGATCCTACATTTCAAAATTTCTGGGGAGACCACCATACTCGCATTGTTTTTCACGCCCTCACCTGGAATCCTAGATCCCAATCGAAAACAATACCTATCTGGAGCCAGAGAAACAATGAACAAAAAGTCGCTTTCGCAATGCACCGGCAACACAAAGATGCGAGAAGTGTAAAGAGCCACGTTACTAAGGATTGGAGAGGGAGAGGCGTGAGACATTAAGTATTAAGTCTCCACTATTTGCGCGGGCAGTTTTCTGTTTTCTGGCCCCCTTTACCAAGAAATCCTGATAGCGACACTGTTTTGGTGGTTTCTGACCATATTATCAATTTATTGTGATGAAAATAGGAGATTGGGAATCTTTTTGGGACAACCCAAAATTGTTGCGGACACCAGACTTGAGGCTTGCGTTGTCGCAGGACAACACATTTTTTCTATCGAGACTGTACATATATAATCCTTCGTCTATAATGTTGTCATGGTATTTTGCTCAACTTAATGCTTTCTTCTCACTCACCTCATGATTGGCCTTGTGTGTGCGCGACAGTTCATTGACCTTCGTGTAATATAGTAATCATCTAGTCCTATTGTAAATGATGGTACATTAAATACGTTAACATAACGTGAGGTTACGTATTGTAGATCGAGTGCTTTAAATGTGGTTTCTCCATCTTCGATCACTGTGTGAATCGTCTACATATATTTTTGTCTTTATATGTTTTTGGTAAAGATTATCGAACCTTGATTTATGTGAGATTGCACTTTGCAGCTGTCATGGCACGTTCGACGAGGTGGTGGCAAAGACCAGCTTGGATTCACCTGAAAATACGACCTGAAAGCATTCTCTCTCAACGGGTACGGAATAGTGACGAGACACGAGACACTTTACTCGCGCGTAAACTGTTTTTGTAAACAACCCTCTGGCCACACGACTGTCCCCCCTCACACCCCACCCCTCGCACAACGCGACCTTGCGCACGACCCTTACGCCTCGCTGCCGCGCCGCCGCCTGACCCACGGCTGCATCCATCCTCACTCTCGAGCGTCTCTGACAGATTTGCAGACGCCGTGCGTGAGATCGCTCCTCACCCATCACACTCACGCACGCCCCTGCCTCCTCACTCTCGAACACATCTTCCTCTCTCCCCCTCGTGCAACCATCCTCCTCGCACACCTGCCCCTCACTCTGCGTCGCTGACAGTATTTCCGACGGTGCCGTGGGACGCTACTCTCCCCCTCACACTCACCACGCCCCTCCTCCTCAACTCTCACACACACCCCCTCCTCCTCCCCCTCGTGCACCCCTCCCTCGCACACCGCTCCCGCTCACCTCTAGCCGCTCTGACAGTATTGCAGACATCCGTAGGATCGCTCCCCTTCCCCTCCACACTCACAGCCACGGCCCCTCCTCCTCATCGCTCTCATACCACACCCCTCCTCTCCTCGTCCTTCGCACGCCCCCACCCCTCTGCACACCCCTCCCTCTCTCGCGGCGTCTCTGACAGTATTTGCAGACGTGCGTGGATCGCTGCGACGTACTGGACGTCTTCAACGGCATGCAGTTCCTTCCGCTCGACAAGAACGGCTACCTGCGCACGCAGTGCTTCCTGAACCAGACCGAGGCCAGCTTCCCGCAGGTCAAGTACACGGCCTTCCTCTACAACGAGTCGCTCGTCTGGTGAGTGGTCGCCGGCGCGCGCGCAGTGGCTCGGAGAGGGGAAGAGGGAGAGGGGGAGAGGGGGAGGGACGGCTACCTGCGCATGCAGTGCTTCCTGAACCAGACCGAGGCCAGCTTCCCGCGCAGTCAAGTACCACGGCCTCCTCTACAACGAGTCCGCGTCGTCCTGGTGATGTCGCCCGCGGCGCAGGCCGCTGCTGGAGAGGAGGGGGAGGTGACAGCTTGCCTGCCGCATGCAGTGTCCCTGAACCAAGCTGAGGCCAGCTCCGCAGGTCAAGTAACGCATTTACCTCTACAACGAGTCGTCGTCGCTGGTGATGGTATGCCGGCGGCAGCGGCGGAGAGGGAGGGGAAGGAGAGGGAGGGAGGAGCAGTTGCTACGTCGGACCTCGGCCTGATGTTGATGTCTCGTGTTGCATCGACGTCGCGATTAGTATAGTCGGCTGTCTGCACACACACTCTTCTCTTCTCTCTCTCTTCTCGATTTCTATCTCTCTCTCTCTTCATTCTCTCTCTCTCATCGATTTCTATTCTCCTCTCTCATCCTTCTCTATCTCTTCTCCTTCTCCGGATTCTTATCTCTCTCTCTCTGCTCTCTCGATTTATCTCTCCCTCTCTCCATCCTCCTCCTCCCGCCTCGTCTCCTCTCGATCAGTGAATCGATTTCTTTCTCTCCTCATCCGGGGCTCTTCTCTCGTCTCTCCTCGTCTCTCTCTCTCCTTCTCCTTCCTGCTCTCTCCCTTCTATCTATCATCATCTCATGAGACTGAATGTGTAAAGTGTAGCAGGAGTGACTGCAGCAGGGTCGACATACGGATACTGTACAAGTACCTCACCACGAGTCTGTCCCTCCTGCATGGATCAGAGCTCCAAGCTGGCACTTGCTCCCCGCGAAACCAGGCGCGCACATCTCCCACGATACTAGGAAAGTGAGTGAGAGGATCCTGAGTGCCTGCCCTCCTTCCTGGTGTTTAAGTGTCTCTGAGTGTAGGCATGCTGGCATCTGTGGTGTGTCGTGTGTGTTCGTGGTGTGTGTTGCGCGGTGTGTGTGTGTGCGTGCAGTCGCTTGCGTCGTGCGTGCGTGCGATCGCGTAGCGTGCGTGCGTGCTGTGTGTGTGTGCGAGACGGTATGTGGTGTGTGGGCCCACTGTGCGTGCGTGCGTGCGGCGCCCGTGTGCGTGCGTGGTGTGTGTTGTCTGTCTGTGTGCTGCGATGTACTGCGGCTGTATATCTAATGCGTCGTTTATGTATGTGTGGTGTCTTCTGTGTGTCTGTCTGTCTTTCGTAATCTTCGTCTGTCTGTATGCCTACCTGACTGTCAAATAAATAATGAATAAAACTAATAAATAAATATAAATAAATAAATAAATATATATATATAACGCTAGAAGTAGATCATAAGGAATTCCTATTATCTACTTATCTATTATCTTCCCTATTATCTACTTCTGGTATATACTCACATGTAATTTGATACTCGTGTCGCTGTTTGCTCGATGCGTAGGTTTATAACGGGCCCGCCTAACCTGGCCGACACCACGAACCTGGGCAAAGTGCCTCGCATCTTCGTCAACGTCGACGGCAAGAAGTCGGAAGAGTGCCACCTGGTGGTGTACCGGGCGCTCAGCGCCTCCGTGTGTCTCATGGTGGAAGGTACGTTCGCTTGTTGTTTTTTTCACCCGGGGAGACGACTTTAATTTCTGCGTGTTTGAATTAGTGTCGACGTTAGTGTGAACCAGCAAGAATGACACATGACATCCGTCGTGCAGCAAGGTGACTTGGAGATGTTGAAGGTGAAACAGGTGAACGCACGTGATAATAATACGTGTTGTCTGATCAGCAAGTTAACCACACGCACCTCGGATATTGTCACTAGGTTGATCAAATTGTCGAATTGACTTCACTTTATTACTAAGCATGCTTCTAACTTTTAGAATGCTTCTATTGCGATACTAAGGCATTTTATTCAAACGCGAGCGGCCGTGTTTTTACGTGTGTTTATACTATACTATAGAGATACTTCAGTAGGTCGCCCCCGGGATTGCTGCATCAAGTTTGCTAACGTGTATCTTTAACGCGAGCAGCCCGTGTGTTAACGGCGAGCGTTTCTGCATGCCTCGCAGGCTCCTACCAGCTGAACTTTGACTTCTACCGGCTGCTGGATCAGTTCCTCGGGCCGCAGCTGACGGTCCTGGCTTCCGACATCGGCGAGCAGTACGGCAAAAGGCTGTCCGCGTGAGTGTGAGGCGAGCGCGCGAATCCGCCGACACCGCCGCCGCGCGACGGCGATTTCGTGTCGCGCGTCATGGCGTCTCGGCGGCATAAACGTAAAGCCTAGCGCAGACCTGCGACTTTTTCATGCAACTCGACATCGATTCCAGAATCAATCACTGTAAAAATTGCTGTGAAATCGCTACGTCTGCGAGAACGTGCAACTGCAACCGGTAGCGATTCTGGTCGCTTGCGACGAGTTGCAAGAAATCAAACTGTTTTGATTTTGAGCGACTTGTCGCTCCCAATCGCTCTCAAATTGCTCCCAAATTGCTCTAGAATTGCTTCGAAATCACATGTGTGCGCACACGCGGCGACACATCGACAGATCGCTTGCGGTTGCAGGTTGCAGCGACGAGCAACCAAAAATTGCAGGTCTGCGCTAGGCTTAACGTGACGTAGAACGTTGCATGACGTAAATCTACACGTAACAGGCTCGCCACAAGCACGTATACTTATTCATGGCAATTTCATGTCGCGGGTTACGTCTTTGTTTGCGGCGACGCCGCCGTCATAGACTGCGTTCGTCTCGCGTGTGTATACGAAATTGTAAAAAAATTCGCGAAGGATCTGTTGCGGAGCGCATGCGCGGAGTGTCGTATGCAACGACGTGACCCTGCACGAGATAGGGTAGAAAGAGTAGCCCATGGTGGAAGATTTCAGAGCTCTGTCCAACTAGGTCAGGCTACACGTGCACGTGCGTACGGCCGACATGTTCGGTACATAACAGGCTTGCAGGGTGCGAAATTAACGGGAGTCCGAGTCAAATACTCCTTGATTTACTGTCGGACTCCTTGATTTGACATATGCAGGAGTCCGTGTGACTCCCTGAAAATTCTGCCATACTAAAGTTTGTTCCGGAGCACGGCCTCGCGGAATTACTGTATTTTTTCAGGCTAATGTCCAAAGAAAATTTGGCAGACGCACACATGCGTTATTGTTTATATCTTTAATTTGAACTCAGACTGCGGACTCCCTCATTTTGCTGCGGACTCCCTCTTTTTGAGGGTAGGGAGTTCACTCCTTGTTCAAAAGTTAATTTCTACCCCTGGGCTTGCTTTAACAGTATCGTTAACGTGGTTTGTGTGTCTTTGTCATGGCATAAATAAATGATTAAATAAATAAATAAATAAAAATAAATAAATAAATAAATAAAAATAAATAAATAAATAAATATATATATACTCACATGTAATTTGAAATGAATCTATCTGAAATCTGAATCTATCTCTATGAAAAAACTGATCATACAACATGTTATCAGGAGTGAATAATAATGGATTATTATAGATTAATAATAACCTATTATTATTCACTCCTGAGAATATAATTGACACAGGCTTGTCTTTAACGTGTCGTTTCTTTAACGTTCTCTCTCGTCAAGGCCGGCGACGCTAGCCACAAGTACATCTTACTTTCAACACATGAACCTCGCCGAGAAGTCTTCGCTGCACGCGACGTCAACGGCCGCACCGTGGACCACGTGCCACCAGAGGTCGCCAAGCTAATTGCCGATGTGAGACGGACCTCGCGATGTAGAGTGAACGCCGTGCTGGGACGCGGGTGGAGAGGAGGAGGGGCGGGGGCGGGGAGGGCGGGGAGGAGGGGCGGCGGGAGGAAGGGGCGACGCGGCGAGACGGGAGGGGAGGAAGGGGCGGCGGGACGGGGAGGAGAGAAGAAGAAGGGGGCGGGGGGGGAGGAAGGGGGTGTTAGAGGTGAACACCGGGGTGGGCAGTGGCGGTGGGGTGTGGGGGATATTATTATTGTCGTGGGAGCTTATTATATATATATACATATATATATTATGTAATATATATTATATATATATATATACTATAATATAATTATGTATATATATATAGAATATATACATAGAGAGAGCGAGAGAGAGGGGGATAGATATATAGATTATAATATATATATATATCAGGAGTAGATAATAGGGAAGGAGTGTGACATCAATAAACAAGGAAATTCGTCATTTACTAGGCCTTAAAATACCTAGGATTTACTACGCGTAACTCATCCAACTTGAGCTCAAATCGTAGACAGTACATTCGCCTAGCATCGTGCGAAATCGTTTCCTCGTATACACAGCAATCCGGAGATACAGACTAAAACGTACGACACCGATTATCATTTTGGCCATCAATCCAGCCGATTGCCCGCCTATATTCAAACAAAAGGCAGCTGCTAACGTTGCTATTGCTAACTCGGCGAGCATGTGGCTCGCTAGGAGATTAGGCATCAACGCCAACACAGATAACCTTTGACCCGGTACACAGTACATTACCGGCTCCGGCATACAGCTGGCTATGCCCCCACGCACGCCACACCAACCGCAATCAGCAGCAGATCCGGACTCAAATTTCCAGACGAGCCACATTGCCTCGCCGAGTTAGCAATAGCGCGTTAGTAGCTGCCTTTTGTTGAATATAGGCGGGCAATCGGCTTGGATTGATGGCCAAAGAATGGATAATCGTGTCGTACGTTTTAGTCTGGCATCTCCGGATTGCTTGGTGTATACGAGCGAAACGAATTTCGCTACGATGCTAGAGCGAAATGTACTGGTGTACGTTTTGAGTCAAGTTGGATGAGTTACGCGTAGTACTCAAGTTATTTTAAGCTAGCAGTAAATGATACGATTTCTCTTGTTTATTGATGTCTCACTCCTTCCCTATTATCTCCTCTGATATATATATTATATGCTCGCGTCGTTGTTTCAGGTCAGGGGACGACTGCGAACTGGTTGTGAAGGGACCCCACCCCCTGCCCCCAAACCCAAAAACCCCCAGCCCCCACCCCCCCCCGCCCCCCCCCCGCGCCCCCCCGCCCAACCCCCCCAGCCAAAAACCTCAAACCCACCCCCCCAAAACCCGCCCCACCCCCCACCACCCCACCAACCCCACCCCCACCACCCCCCAACCCCCCCCACCACCCACCCAGCCCCCCCCCCCCCACCCCCCCCCCCCCCGGCGATTGCTGGGTCGTCGCGCGAAAGAAATCCGACCAACGCGAGCTCTACTACGTCAACCAGAAGTGCAGCAACCTCATCGAGATACCATGGTTTTACGGGTGCGCAGTAACATGTGTAGGGTCGCGCGTAACATGGTAGTGGCGCTGTTAGCGTCGGTAAGGTGGCACGTGTAACGTGCCGGTAGGGTGGCGCATAGGTACTGTGGATTTGAGGTTGGCGCAGTGTAAACGTGTGGTAGGTGGCGCTGTGTGTGGACGTGGTACGGTGGGCGCGTTAACGTGGTATGGTGGCGCTATTACATGGTACGGTGGCGCGTGTTAACGTGGTAGGTGCGCGCCTGTACGTGGTAGGTGGCGCCTGTAACGATCGGTAGGTGAGCGCTGCTGAACGTGGTAGGTGGCACTGTACGTGGCGCTGTAACGTGGTAGGTGGCGCTGTAACGTGGTAGGTGGTGCTGTGACGCGGTAGGTGGCGCTGTAATGCGGTAGGTGGCGCCATGACGTGGTAGGTGGCGCCGCAATGCGGTAGGCGGCGCTGTAACATGGTAGGTGGCTTTGTAACATGGTAGGTGGCTCTGTAACAGTGTAGGTGGCTCTGTAACATGGTGGGTGGCTCTGTAACATGGTGGGTGGCTCTTTAACATGGTAGGTGGTGCTGTGACGCGGTAGGTGGTGCTGTGACGCGGTAGGTGGCGCCGTGACGCGGTACGTGATGCTACAGTAGCCGGCACACTAACCACAATATCATTGTTTCTACATTCGCCCTGTTTTTGCAATTACTCGATGCAAACCATTGAGGTCGGACAACTATTTATAAATAGTTGTCCGACCTCAATGGTTTGGAGCTGTTTAGCCGTTTAGCACGTTCAACATCAGAACCAAATCAGTTTTGTACAGATATTTTTCGCGATTCGATACCATGCGTCGGATTGGTAAAAACGTTTTAGTACCATTTATTTGTCTCGTGCAATGCCTGTGGAAAATCGAGAGCGAGTCAGTTTTATATTTGTGTCGTTTTTCGTTTCTTTTGCAGAAGAGGTTAAGAAACTCTGCGCATCACATTTCAACAATATCTTCTTCTTGGACTGAGGCAGCCTTGTATATATGGCCAACGTGGAGCGATATCCGCTACCCCCCAATCTGTCCTGTTCAACGCAGGAGACAATTTCGAGATGGAAAATATTTAGAAAGCTAGGCTGAAAATATTTAGATGGCAAAACGGCTTCATGCAATCGACTTCCCCTTTGCTCTGATTTATGCCAACATGCAATTACAGGTGATTAACCGCATGATGTGCATTAATTATGTGTGTGCGGTGTAAATAATTCAAAGTTGTAAATAAAAGTCACAAAGGTTTACGTTTTTTTTCATGTGCAATGCATTTAATTTATTGCCATTCCCCGACATTTTCATTCAGTACACGGCTCCCAGACATTCACAACACAGCAATTAACGTCTATATAATAATAATAATAATAATAATAATAATGCTTGTCACCGATTAAAGATCATTTACAACTCGAAAGCAAAGTATAGTTCCCACGAACGTCCAATGACTAACAGAAATATTTTTACACAAACGATATTTACTCTTAACTGTATATCTCAAGGAATAATCGCATAAATAACATAAAAACTAAATAGTTGCCATTTTAGAATAAAAAAAAGGATAAGCTGTCCAACAAACAGTGTACAGTGTTATACATTACATAAAACAGTACACACTGTTATACATTACATATAACAGCATGCAATGTAATACATTACACATTTTAGTATACACTGTTATGCATTACATAAAACAGTATACACTTTTATACATTACATATAACAGCATACACTACTTCGAAGTACCGTAGTAACGCAGTAAATACGCGTGTGAAAAAAAATCCAAATTAGTTGAGCATGACGCCTGAAACCGCCGCAAAACACACGTCGCCAGAGTTCCGCAAGGAACAAAGCATACGAACAAGGGTGTTGCAAGGAACAAAGCACACGAACAAGTGAGTTGCAAGAAACAATACATGAAAAAGGGCGTTACAAGAACAAAACAAACGAACAAGGGAGTTGCACAGAACAACACGAACAAGGGAGTTACAAGAACAAAACAAACGAACAAGGGAGTTGCAAGGAACAACACACGAACAAGGGAGTTGCAAGGAACAACACACGAACAAGGGAGTTGCAAGGAAAAACACACGGACAAGGGAATGACAAGGAACAACACACGAACTAGGGAGTTGCAAGAAACAAATCGCGAACAAGTGAGTCCCAAGGAACACGAACAAGGGCACTGCAAGGAACATCACACGAACAAGGAAGTTGCAAGGAACAAAACACACGAACAATGAGGGAGTCGCAAGGAACAAATCACGAAACCGAACCGAAATCACTGACGGTTGTCGCCGGGATCTAGCGGAGAGGCTAGTGAACACACGAAGATGGTTTATAGCTCCACGCGAACACGACGTCAACGACTTCAACGCTAATTTACCCAGACATCGCAACATGGAGCAAACAACCTCCCCCCTAAACACACACACACGCGCGCGCACGCACGCACGCACGCACGCACGCGCACACGCGCACACACACACACGCGCGCACACACACATGCACGCACACCTCTATAATTTTCTACACGCAGCAGCAACACGCTGAGGACGTGAGTGCACCCGACGGGATAAAATTGGACGCAAATCTGTATATATCAGCACTTTCCCCCACAAACATCGCAAGGTCGTCAGAAAGTGAGAAATAAAGAGTGTCTGTCTGCTTCGCACCAGCACGACGCATTCGTGTGTCAGTATACCGCAGTCTAAACACACACCTGCTAATAAAGTTTATCTCAGTTAGATCCAAACAACTTACACTGGCGAAATTTTCGTCCATCTCTCGGATAGACTTCGTCTAAATACACACAGTTCGTTGACGTGCCGTTAACACAGTCTAAATACACGCGTGGCAGGTGCTGTTAAAAACGTACAGCGTGTGAGCCAATTATGATATATATGCACCGGCGGAAAAATATATAGTCGACACGCAAAAATATACTCCCCGACGTGTAGGCACACACATATCCCCCCGCACACAAACACATGCACATACACATACACACACGCACCCCCTCACACACAAACACATACACACACGTACCTCCCACCCCCCTTACACACAAACACATACACATACACACACGCATCTCCTCACACACAAACACGTGCACGCGCACGTACGCACACACAAACAAACACATGCACGCGCACGTACGCACACACAAACAAACAAGCACGCGCGCGCGTATGCACACAGAGGATATCACAACTACTTTGTCGGAGAAGAGATGCCACTTGCTGCAAGAATATGTCCCCCCATACAATATATAATACCCAACATAACAGGGTTTGTTCCTGCAGCTTGGTAGGTGAAATAATTCGCTTTGTCTCTAGCTAATTTTGAGCCCACACATTTTCCCCCTCTCGCCTTGTTTAAGAAGATGACATTGGATAAACACCTCTTACTCAACGACTTTACTATTATCTATAGGACGGTTTCACAGACGATCACAACAGCTTTTTAGGCGGTAAACCGACACGTCAGTCCACGTCGCTCGTAACACACGCACGCACGTACGCACGCACGCACACACGCAGAGGAGAGTAAGGGAAAGAGAGTAAGGGAGAGAGAGCGAGAGAGGGAGGAAGGTGGGAAAGAAAGAAAGAGAGAGAAAAAAAAAAAAAAAGAGAGGAGAGGAGAGGGGGGGGGGGGGGGGACGTGGGTGTATGTGTTTGTGTGTGAGG